CAAGGTACACTTGACTCATCCCTCCTTCATTCAGACCCTCACATTTCCAGATTTTCTGCAAGTCTTTGATTGTGAGGGTGGCTAATACTCATTGCAGATTACCTGACCCCGATGGTAGCAAATGGTAATCTTGCACAATTACCGACTTCGAGAATTTTGGTGGCTAGGCTTGTCGCATTTGAAAATCCAACGGCTGAGAATGTATTTCAAAGTGGATGACCCAGGTTGTGTAACCTACTGTTCCAGCACACTGTTTGAGACCCACGATTGAGAGGGATGATGATTCAGAAACTCATCTTCAAGTCTTTGTCTAACCAACCAGTACAATGCTCTGTGCTACCGCTCTGTGACTGGCTGTTGATATTATATAAAATTAGCACCCACGTGCCCTAGGTCGAATGTGGGGTGGTTGACTCATTAGGATATACTTGATGGAGTCCTGTGTGGTTCTCTTGCGACCTCCAGATAGGAATACCTGCACATCAAGTGCAATCCATTGTAGTGGACTAAAATTTTCTTCCGGCTGCACCGACCGCTATTTGAGTCCGTTCACGAGCGGTATGAGGCCGTGAGGTATGAGGCCTCTGCTGAAGATGCAGTAGAGTTGTAGTGCCTCTTCAATCAGTGACTCTGATGGGGGGCCAGAACAGACCACCCCCTCGCTTGCACAAGTTTTCACGAATACCCAGGTGGAAATGATCTGAAGATTTCTAGATTCTCCCCACGGAATAATTGAATCATTCATAGGTCATCATCTCCCTGCGTTGGTTTTAGGTAGACCTGCCGCATCTCGAACACTGAGCCTCATTTAAACAAAGTCGATAATTTTCCTGGGAGGTTGTGGTGAACCCCCAGATACCTTTACATCTTATGTGCTTCACCCTGGTGGTGGACCTGCTCATGGGGCGGAGCCAATTTCTAGATACTCGGCAGTCTTGATCTCCTCTGAAACTTGCCATAACACTTGGACCACCAATTCTTCGGACACCCTTCCCTGAAGCGCTCTTGATCTATCTATACAGCCTTCAAACGGACTTGTTTTTACTTTGGCAGATCCAAACGATCTCATCTAAACAACTAATCTCATCATTAACAATTGTGGACTCAAGCGAAGGCTAACAACAAGACTCCACCAGTAACTTTACTGCTTTACAAACTTTCTGCTACGGATAATCCACAGACTCTCTTACTTTGCTAAAAACTTCCTGTGAATTCACCCAAACTCAGCTACATTAGAATTTGGTCACAAGTCGAGACTAGCAACCGTCCCATTACTATATAGTAGCAATTCAAATTGATTAATTGCAGCAGGTCATCTTCATCTGTCAAAGTTGTGTTTTCTTGCAAAAAGTTGTAACATGAGATTTTTGTTTGTTTTCATTCTTCAAAGTAAGTTCTTGTATATCAGACATTATCACTATCTTCATTCTACTTAGTTTTCAGTTTCATTTTTTAACTAAAATCAGTAACATAAATGAGTTTATACTATAAATTTACATGAAAATAATTTATTAAACTAATGATCTTGTTGCACATAAGTAAACAACTGGTACTCTTGAAATTGCTCTTATAACTGCAAACACTTAATAAAACCAAACTTGGTTTAAGTTGCTTTTGTACTTGCTTGCTTGTTAGTTGTTCAACTCAATAATTTTTCAAAAAACTGCATCTAAATACTGACTATTGGTACGATTTGTTACAAAATCACTATTTTTATTCTACTAAACATCTGTAAAGTAAATTAAATATACATATTATTTTATAAAAAAATTAAATATATTTTAAAATCATCAAAATTAAATATACATATTATTTTATAAAAATTCAATATATTTAATTTTATCAGAAAATAGAAGTTAATTAATTTTCTAATTCTACTAAAAACATTATTACATATTTATTTAATAAAATAACTTTAAAATATTATTACATATTTATTTTAATAAAAAGTATTTTTTATTTAAGGAAAATAACTTAAAATAAATTAATATATTAAACTAAAAATAGAATTTTAAATATTTAATAATTTAAAAATAATATGTCTTCTGTCTTTAAATCGAATTATTTGATTAAATTTTGATGTCTTCATTAAAATAACTATTACCTATATTTGTAAAATTAGCATCTAAAAAAACTCTTTATTCTAAATTATCATTTAATAAATTGTAGAATTTAAATCTTCTATTATTGTTTATTATTTCATTTAAATTTTAGTAATTTTTTTTAATGCTAGGTATTTAATTCTTTTAGATTAATTGTAATCTTTATATTTTTTTTAAATCTTCTAATTAATATTTAGAATACATATTTTAACACTCTTAGTAATTTTTTGTAGCAAGCTCAATTAAAAAGATTTAATAGACAATTATTAATAGGTTATGTAATAAATCATCGCAAGCTTAGAAAAAAGCTTTTAGACTTGCAAATAAAATATACCATAGAATTTACAATTTTTTTATTCTTATTAATCATGTATATTTTTTCAATAGCTTAATTACCTTATATAGTAACATAATCAATTATCTATATAGATGATTTTTATTGCAGGTAATATTTATAGTCGATTTTATATGCTTTTTAAATATTTTGTATAATTTTTATTTTATATAATTTTGATAATTTTGGTAAATAATTAAAATTTTAAAATAATAGTTTCTAATATAAATATCAAATTTTAAAAATAATATTATGTACTTTTTTTAGAAATAAAATTTTAAATTTTAAAATAATAAAATTATTAATTTTTTTATTAAATGATTGATTTAAATAATTTCTTTTGGTGTAATTTTGACAAAAATACCATCGATTTATGTTTTAGAACTAACCTCAAAATTGCAGGCATAAATAATAAAATTTAAATATTGATAAATTTTACATTGCTTTTAAAGTATTTAAAGATTTTGTTTTTTATTATTGGTTTTAAATTTATTTTAAATAAAATTAAAAATACTTTTTAATTGATACTTAAAAATATATATTTAAATCTAGAATTGATAATTATATTATTGATCTTATATAATTTTTTTGATATAAAGATCTATAAGTAATTGAAAAAATAATGAATTACATAAGGAATTAAAAGTAAAAAATTCTAAAACTATTTTCCTAACATCAATAAGGTAAAAAATTATATATTTGTATATTAATAATAAAATTTTATAAAAATATATTAATTATTAAACAATAGATATATCACCAATTCTACAAATATATATATATATAGTTGTATAGGTGTTTGTATATATAGAGGCATAATTATTTTTTAAATATCTAATTAATTGAAAAACAATTAAAACTTGAATTGGTATTGGTGTAATTGCAATTTTGATGCATATATATAAAGATAGAGCTATACACACCTTCTATATGAATTTTGGGGTTTCAAAATATAATTCTCTCTCTGTTAATTATTATCATTTGTTGCACATATATATATTGAATATTGATGGTTATTAATTATTGAAACAACAAACCACACTAGATACCTAAATTCTAGCTGGATATGAGTACCAACACTTCAATTAATTATTAGAAATTATTAGTTTTGGGGAGATTACTTATTAAAGCAGCAAAAATACTTAAAAAAGATCAAAATGCACAATAATAGAAATGTAGAAAAGATTAATTGTGGCAACATTCATAATCTACATTCAATCTCATTTATTTTTTTATGCTACCATTTCTTTTATTCAAGGATTATAATTTATACTTTTATTTATGTTTTATATATGATTGAAGTCATTTTATAAAAATAATTTAATTAATACTCTTTTTTTGATAATTTAAAGGTTGAGCATAATAAGATTTTAAAAAAATTAATTTAATTTTTTTTAAAAAAAACAACAACAACAACAACAGAAAGTCGGATATTTAATAGTGAAAATTATACAGCATACAGACATAACCGTCAGATCTTTAAAATAATTTCCTACAATTCGAAGGGAAAGAAATCCCAGGCTATAATAAATTTCATCCGTCCACTCAAGGAGACGAGTTTCATCCTGCCGTTAACTTTTTCTTCTTTTCTTTTTCTTTTCGTTTTCTTATTTCTTTTCTTCGACGTTCTCTCCGCTTCCTTACCTCCAGTGTCGCTCGTTGCTTTGACCTAGAGTTGTCGAAGCGGCGATTGCAAAACATCGGCATGATGTCTCATCGAGGAAGAAACTACGGTGTGAAGCCGGCAAGCTCACAACCAGGTTGTTGATGAGACTCGAGTCCCAATGCGCAGTATAAGTAGTACTCACTTCGGGTGCTACTCCTCACATCTTCACAGCCTATCCGTCCAGCAGAGGCAGCTGTGGTAGGTAGCCCATGAAATCCAACTCTGTTTACGGCGCCATTGCTTGAAAGGAAATCTCGGATCAAGCTATTCGACGCTCTCCTAGGCAATTCCCCTGCCACCCACCTTTAAGATCACGGATCAACACTGTCCAGATAAGTGGCAACCTCGTCTCACCTCTCAAATCGCGCAGCCTGATGTTAAAGGGTTTGCGTTCAAACTCGAGGGAGGCCTGCATCAACGGAGTGCATTCAGCGTGCCATTTCGAATCAGACAGAGGATTAACTGAAGGGTATGTGAATGCCGTAGCGTCTTCCTGACAACGTGCTAGGAAAGAATCCGTCCTTGAAATTGTGGGATGTGCTTGCAGGCCCTCGTTAAAAGTTCATTGCATCCAATGGCTCTATAATGTGATGGAGTACATCACACATTCTGACTCCGAGAACCTCCTAGTTCTAAACCCTTCAAGCTTTTCCTCATTCAAATCGTGCATGCGATTCCTTACGGCTATTCTTTGAATTCAGCTGTTCCAAATTCAGAAAGTAAATTGTTGAAGAAGGAATACACACAAAACGACGCACAACGAAGGCACAAGAGTCGCAATCGAGACAACATTACATATACTACACCTGAAGGGAAACCTGCGACATGCACAATGCAACGTCGAATGGCCGCAAGAGACGCAAGATTTCAGTTTCGCTATCGTCACACAGGAATCATCAACTTGGAAGAGAGCTGTGGGTATTTGAATCTCAATAGCAGCTTGGAAAACAGCTGAGTTGCAACCTCTGGATTGTAGCCCCTCCGACAGATATGAAAAATTGGTCGCGTAACCATGCTCCGAATACGATCAACTACCCTAATTATCTTTTGTCGTGACCAAACCTGTTGATACATATGCTGATTGCTAACAATAGTCACCTGACTGATTATTCTTCCACTGTCGGTCACGGGACATGCTTCATTCATATGAGTCTGACAGTATGATATCATGGAACGGAAGCGACTACGTAACGCCACCACAAAAACCCTTAGCCTGTTACGCAAAGTTCAGCTTCACCCCTAACGCTTACAGCCGTGTTTAGACAATGAAATACTAATGTGCAATTCTGGCTGCAGATTCAGGTTTTCGAATCGCTGTAGAAGCAGCAAATTATGAACTCCGTCGTGGACGCTTGCATTGTGCCTAAATTATCGTGTGAAGCCAAACACCGCTCTTGGTGGTCGATTGATGAAAAGGAACAATGGGCTACATGATTAGCTTCCTTGTCAGTATGTGGAGATTATGTTCCAACCTTTTCCCATAGGGACCCATGGCTCTAAATAAAACCTCGAGGAGCATCATCACGCTTGCTTGCTACTTTGATAGTACAGGTAGCGAATATCTGATAAAGAATCTGCACCTTCCAGCACAGCAGCTACCTTTCTAGCGTGGCGTCCACGCTGATACATCGCCAAGCTCTACAGAACCCAATTTCCGTATGCTCCTCAATTTCATAACCAGGTTCGAACACCTGAGTGATATCCATAAACTTCAGAACAATTTGGGTCGTATCCCAAGATTCCTCACTATCCTGATCAAAGCCTTCTGTCCAGGGCTTGGCAGCTAATCAAGTAATCAATTTCTTTGATTGGCAACTTAAATTTACAATCGATTATGGAGAAGGCAAAGGTGTTTTAGTAAGAATCAATCGTCTCAGGCATTACACTGGACCTTGATTCCGAGCAGCAGATCTGCGATGGCCCACGCCATGCACGATATTCTCCATAACCTCAGTGGAAAATATGGAACCCAACAACCTGTTTGAGGGACTAGCGCTAGCGCTTGGGCTTCCAGCTGTAGTACCTAGGTCAGCAGCGGCAACACTCGTCGATTGTGCAGAGGGTTCAATGATTTCTGTGTCGAGGCTTGAGATCCTCTCACCGTCAAACCTTGCGATGCCAGACCTGGCGCTGTTTCTCACCATCGACGGGACAGATGAGGGATCAATGTCGCTCTTTGCTGTAAGACTCAGCAGGGAGAACACTGCAACGGCAAACGGGGCATGTTGTACGTGTGAGTAGCCATTTTTCGATGCAAAACGGATGGAATCCGTGTTTGCAAATGGGAAGCAACCTGACTTTCTCTCCGCTGGCAAATTCGCTTAGACATACCACGCATTCTTTTCCTCCCAAAGAATCAAACAAGGGGAGAGCCTCAATCGCGCTCTTCTGAAGCCCCTTCTCCGTATCATTGTGATCATCGACTGGCTGCTGTCGTCGTCGTCGCACGAGGCATCTGACAATGGTATTGATGAAGGCGGCGACGACGAGCGCAAAGAGTAGAACCGCCATAACCACGACCACGTTGGAGTTCAATGACCGGGCGAAATATGGGGCTTGTGCCGGGCCTGGAGGATCGTGAGACGGCCGTCGCAGATGCAGAGGGGATGGTGACGGCAAGGGGATGTAATCACTAACGTTGACAGTGACTCTACTGCTACCAAAGTGCACGTCGAGCCTTCGAAGACCGGCCGCCATTGCAAATTTCTGTAGAGCACGAGGACCTAGTCAGAAAATTCCACCTCTTAGCTTATGCTCTATCCCTCCCCATTCTCGATTTCGTCAGGCTGTTGCTCAACCTGTAATCATTGACGAGTGAAGGTGTTCGGTGGATGCGTTGCGATCCCAGTAAGGCGACGCGTTTCATAAATAAAACAAGCAGACTCATTACGAGAGCGGGTCCTGGGGTGACATTGCACTCAGTGAGCGACCTGGCAACTGCGAAAAACACACCACCGTCGACTTTTAGCCTCAAATTTCAATTAAGGATTTAGCACAATATGCACGTCATGTTGGAATTGACTAATCCCCAGATGTTGGCAAATTGCGTTACTAAATCACAAACAAATCAAGGGAGTTTGTGGAGAACAGATGCGGTACCTTTCTCGAAGGCATTCGTGCGCCCATCACACAAAGGAATTGGTTCGGCACGAGTGAAGCCATGACAGGTTCCAATTCAGAAAATATAACACTGACCTGAACGTAGCAGCATGCTCAATCTCATTTCCCGCTTTCAAAGCACAACAGAGCGCAACCGATCCTCGACAAACAGGACGAGGACGACGCGTTCCAGAAAACTCTTCAAACCTCACTGCTCGGCGCCTGTACCTACATTGCGGAGACCGGCGATGAAAATTGAGTTTATATATATAAAAAATAAAATAAAATAAAATAACCCAAAACAACAGCCAATCCCTATGCCACAGGCCGTTTGTGACAATCTCAATTACAATCAATTGTTCATAGAAGATGCAGAACAAGGAGGCAACAGAGGCATGTCCGAATGGCTTCCTATACAAGCAACCCATTGACTACCCTCAAAATAAAACCTGAGATACAGCGCCGATCCATGTCCAGCCTAAAAGCAAGTGCGTACCTGCAGTTTCGGATGTGGTTAAAGGTGTTGATTGCACTAGATTATTGCGTCACGGTGGCGATTCCGACGAAGAATTTCGCCTACCCCTTGAATGGGAATCCGATTGTCTCCAAATCAAGTTGATGATCCAGTAATCGGAAATGGGTTAAGAGAATCTGGCAACAGAATCTGCTTTCATTCGGCAAGTGGCAAGCAGCGATCATCTTAATCACGCCACCGACCGAATTACAGCCATCCCCGTAATCCTCTTCTCCCATTATTCTTGATCTATGGTAGCTTGTGATGACTCAGAAAATGCTACACTCTCCAAGGGTTTCAGCCAAGTCTCTGACCTCCACGGCAACAATTAAAATTCACTTCTTTGCTAATCGAATATGCCCATGCCCGCAAACTCTGCTCAATTACCTCTTCACCGAGTTCTGATGGCAACCATCTCCGTTCCCTACTCTGTCTGCGTTTTCATTACATCCGTTACCATGCGGCTCGACATGCGTAGCTGCCAATCACAACACAGCAGTGGATCTCTGCTTGCTTAAGCTTGCAATGAAGAGTTGTGATTGAAAATATAAAATATTTTAAAAAAATTGTAATAATATTTTTTTTTGTAAAAAAAATTTAATAAGCATTCATCTCAATTTTTTAAAACTATATTTAAAAAATAAAAATAAAATTTAATTATAAAATGTTAATTTATAAATTTATAATTTTTTTTTATATATATATAATTAGCCTTTGTTATAATCAACCTCATTAAAATCAACCTCATTAAAATCAACTTCACATTATAATACATTTTGTTGGTTTCAATCTAGACTATCAAATTTAATCTTAGATATAGCCAATTCTCATAGTAAAACACTATGCAATCAATATGTCACATGTGTACATATTCACACTAATAATCATTAAGATATGATGAGTTAGTATCAAAGATATGAATCACAAATAACCTAAAAGTCAATACATCCTTATATTATTAGAAAAGAATAGATAATTATTTAAAGATAGTATAATATGAAAACTAGAATGACTATAGCTGAAGAAAAGAAGATTAGAGACTCTTGAAACAAGCTAAGAACAAAAAAAGATATTGATAAGATAAAAAGAAGCCTTACTCTTGCTTCTATATATGTTATTTAATTAAAAGCTACTCAGAGATATTTTATAAGATCTTTAATACATGTCTAACTTATAAGACATGTGTCTAACTTGTAAAATAAGTTTCTTGGATAAGTACTATATAGTCAATTTATACCACAATTAGCAAGCATGTGTGACTCATAGTCAACTTATTTGCCAAATTTTAACCTATAAATCACCTACAAATACATATAAAATAAAATCTGCATCCATTAGATATTATCAAATTTATCTATTTTTTTTTACTTCTTTCTAACTCTTCTTATCTAGGTAATTATAGGTATTAGTTACAATTAAAACATTATCTCTTTTCTAGAGACGAGTTCCACAAGGAGCACAATCATATGTTGAAAAAGTCCAAGATGAAACAAATTATATTTGTTACATATTCTAATCTTTGTTTCCTTTGAAAAGTATCTTATTACAAGAGTAGATAGTTTATTCATATCAAAATAACTTAATCTAAAAATAATCTCTAAGAAATCTTTAAAAATTTGACAATCCAAATAAAATATACAAACATGCATATAAATATATATATTCATATAAACATCTATAATATATTGGTATTAAATTATTATCAAGGACTAGAACTTGATAAAAACAAATAAACAAGTGAGACTTTTCTCAAAGAAAGATGACAAAATAGAAATAACTAAATATGTATATTAAGAAAGAAATTGGAATGACTATTGGCAAAAGATAAGAAACTAGAGACCCTTGAAACTAGACTAGAAGCAAGAAAGAAATTGACAAGAGTGAAGAAGGCTTCACTCTTGCCTCTATATATACTATCTACCTAAGAGCTACATGGCGATGTTGTGATGTAACACAACTAATAGGTGAAAGAGTGTGGAAGTTATTATAATGTAGGAGATCTTAGTTCAAAGTATTATAGCAAATTATCTTAGAAATATAGTTAATAGTAAAAAGGGTAGTAAAACTAAAAGGTATCAATGCTGCCTTTTTAGAAAGGTGACTTCTACTTACTTTTTAGGACCATAAATAAGGCAAAATAAAGTAGATTGGAAAAATAAATAATATATGCATCTTTAGAAAGAAGTTAAGAAAAAATTCTAGCAAAATTTACTTAGAAAAACTAGATATTGATACTCGAAGAGGGCTAGTTATGAATCAGCATTGAAATCAGACCCTGAGGCACAAAACCAAGTCTCAATAATGACTCTAGGGTTCTTTTGCAAATCAGAGAGAATAATTTGATAGCAAACTAGATAGGATTTCTATAAACATTGCTTTTGAACAAGTTGGATTTGTAATGACTTTGTAAGAGCTTTACAAAGTCAAGTTTGTTTTTAGATGACTTGGATTTTGTGAAATAAAATAGGATTGACGTTTTGAGTGATTTCAAGAGTTTTGTAATAGATTTATGGATAAAATTTTGTGGGTTAATGGTTATAGTTGTGTTTAATATGTATTATGAATCTTAACTTGATCTAACAATTGAATTGAAGGTTATTGAGGTTTAAGTGGGTCAAGGTCTCAAAAAGTAAAATTTTAGGTCCAGTGAGGGTTTTTAAGTTTTCTTGCAATCTACTTTTTGGATTGGAATAAAATTTATCTGTGAGAATATTAGACTTGTTTTCCTATGTATATAATAATTTTGAAATTAATCTAATAATGAAAATGAGAGATATTGGCTTTGGAAAATTGATATCAAGGTCAGAGAAGGAGGCCGACCAATATCCAAGCACATTTTTGAGGTTATTGTCTACTTGGTAATTTTGATCCCTTTCAAATTTTTTGTGCTTATTTTCAACTTAGTTTTTAAGAAGTGTGAAAATTTTGAATTAAGATCAATAGTTCATTCATTAATTATTAAGGTTTAAATTTGTTATAGAAATTATTAGGATTTGGTTTAGGATTTAGGGTTTGGTTAGGATTTGATTTAGGGTTAAGATTTGATTAGGGTTTGATTTAGGATTAAGATTTAGTTAAGAGTTGATTGAGAGTTTAGGATTTGGTCAGGATTTGATTTAGGATTTAAGATTTTATTTGAGTCTGTTTAGGATTCAAGATTTAGATAATTTTTGGCCTAAAGTTTGAATGAAGTGCAATAGGATTTCAACTAGGATTAAATTAATATTGAATTGAGATGTATTTGAGATATATTTGTAATCATTATAATATTTCTTTAATATTTTTTATTATTTCTTCGTAATTCTTTTGAGGTTTCTCTGAATTTAATTAAAGCTTGTTTAGCATTATTAGTGTTCTATTAGAATTAGGATTTTATTGTAGCCATTTCCATTCTACCTTCCATAGCTAGGTGCCCAAAATATTCTTAAGCAAGACTTCACATATTATGACAACGATAAGACCTCCAAAAACACGTTTTATCTACTTTTATCTACTTTTATCTACTTCTATCTATTTATATCACTTAGGTAACAATTACAGTAAATATATGTTCGTGACATTATCTCTCTTTTTAGAGACGAGTTCCACAAGATTAGAGTATGTAGCAAATATAATTTGCCACATGTCTAGGAAGTCTAAGATGTGGCGAATTATATTTGCTATATACTCTAATCTTTGTTCTCTTCAAAGATGATTGATAGGGCCTCTCAACTATCAATAGTATCTCATACCAAGGCGAGAAGACCACCCATTTATTTGATCATTGTTGAGGCCTTCATAACTTCCTTCAAATAAAATATTTGAAATACCATCACGAGTTATTCCTACCTCTAGTAAAATCACCAAACATCGAGAGTCCCTTCAAGGTCATGATACTAAATGCATTGTATCTCGCTATCTATTCAAAAAAGAACATGTTGTTCTTGAGGATCTTCATCTCAATTGCATTATCTTAAAGGTTGTGACAATCGTAATGTCTCATATGGTAGGTGAGCAAATAAAGGCTCTTGAGTCAAATCCATTGGTTGTTGGTTCTCCATCTCTTCAACATCACAACTACAAAGAAGCTGCAAACAAGGATTGAAAGTAGAATCCTATCTTGCCTAGATCTTATTTCTTTTATAAGGAAGATTTTCAACTTGATTTTGATGGATATTGTTGATGAAAACCTCCATCACCTTTGCTGCATTTGTAAGATTCTTTACTGGCTCCCATATGCATTCACTAATATCATATCTACGCCAATGGACAAGATATTTCAATTTATTTTGGCATCGCCTTGAATCTAAGACTTCTTTGATTTTGATTTCTTTATTATTTTTTACTTTTATAGAAGGAAGTGGAGTTTATCTTCTTCTTGGTATATCCATTATCTTGTGTGATTCAAGAAGAGACATGTGGAATACTAGATGGATTTTCGTTGACTTTGGTAGGTATAAACGATATGTAATTGTATTAATTTATATAAAAATAGAAAATGGTCTAAGCCTTCAATAGTCCAACTTGTGACAAGGACGAGTGGTCTTGATATTGCGACGAAGTAACCATACCTTGTCAGCCATGTCAAATGGTCGTTATTCCTTTCAATAGACGTCCGCATTGATTTTTTGTTGTTCTTGAGCTTTTTTTAACTATGCCTTCATTGTTGCTTGTAGCTTTGATAAATGATTTTCTAAATCTTTCTCCATAAGCTTATCAGCTTTTGAAAAATTAAAAGTATCAAGTTATAGATGATAACCATAATTGACAAAGAAAGGTGCTTCTTTTGTAGAAAAATGTACTGTATTATTATAAGCAAACTGTGCCAATGGTAAAAGAGTTGTCCAATCATCTTATTGATAGTTGATGGTACATCTTAAATATTGCTCTAAAACTTGATTCATACACTCTATTTATCCATGAGTTTGAGGATGGAATGCCGAAGATAGTTTTATATTTACTTTTAGAATCTTGAAAAGAGCTTGCCAAAATCTTGATACAAAGTGAGTTCCCCTATCTGATATAATATCCTTAAGTAATCCATGATAGCAATAGATATTGTTAAGAAAGAACTTAGTTGTTTCTTTACTTGTGATAGATTTTGTATATTTACAAAATATGCCATCTTGGTAAAATGATCTACTATTATAAATATAGAATCATAAGAACTTGAGATTAAAAGATCCATGATGAAATTCATAGAAACAAAAGACCATGGTTGTTCTAGAATAGATAATGGCTGAAGAAGTCCATAAGGTTGATGACGAGAAGTTTTTGATCTTGAATAAACTTCACAAGATTGTACAAAATCTTTGACTGCTTTTCACATTTGTGGCCACCAAAAGTCCCTAGATATTAGTTCCAAAGTTTTATTGTACCCAAAATATCATACT